AGACTATGTCTGAACTGGTCACTGAGGTGAGTAGGGATTCTCCAGAGGACGGGGAAGGGCTTGAAGGGTCTGGCACGACAGCACACATCAGGAGTACGGAAGGTGAGCTTAGAGAACGAGGCGGAGTCCAGCCTATAAAAGACCTCTTGCAATTTGCTGAGGAGCTATGACCTTCTCCCATGCATAGTGAAATGCCCTTAAAGGATTTTGAATAGTCAAAAAACACTCAGAAACAAAAAATGGTAGATCCAAAATAGACGGTAGGAATCACTTTCTTCGGTTTTCCTTGAAGAGTCAGAGTGTTTACCACCTGGATTGTTTCTGATACATCTGAAAGACGTTCTCACAAACCCACCATGTTAGCTCTTTTCAACAATTTTGTACTTTGCCTTTTTACGGTGCAGGCAAGCTCTGGAGTACTTGGGCTTTCAGGTGAGTAGGAAAACAAATTCATGCCTGATCATGTTGAGCCACTTATCTATAGTTGCTTTGACACTAATGGAGGTGTAACTTCTTTTAAGCCACAATAGAATCTCCTAAGTGGGTGTGGGAGTCATAAGAAGGAGGAATCTGGGCTTCTACAAGCGAATAGCATGTCTTCATTCAGTCAGTCACTGGGTCGATGCACTTAGCTCTGTGCTCTGTGCTGGGTGCTGTGTGGGATATAAAAGAAGCTGAAGTTCCAGCTCTTACTCCCCAAGGAATCTGTACTCTGCTTGGGAATCCATAGAAGAAGGAGACAATATCAGCACAGTAACATCAATATAGCTGCATGACCTCAAGATAGATGTTAAGGCCATTTTAATGGGATAAAGGAAATCTTTGTTGGTTCAGAGATGAGCTTTACTGGCTTTGAACTAGGTGATAGACATAAGTAGGTGGAGTGCAACTGGGGAGAATTTCAGGCCTGGGTAAGGGCCAAATGTGGATGGATGGTCTCATGAAGGAAGCCATCAGGCTAGGCATAGCAAATCCAGGAGCCCTCTAACCGTGGACAGGGGACCTTTGCTGATGTAGGAATTGCATTGCAGGTCAGTACTCCTTAGTGAGCCTGGAGACCCAGTTGCTTCCCATTCCCTACCTCAAGGCACTGTCTTATAACTTTGGGCTGCAACTCTGAGTTAGTGGATTCTGGAAATAATAGCCAAATCTATGCATGGGCTGAGTGGGCTTCCAAACATGCTGGCCTCATCTCCTGATGATGAGAGCTGGGGGCACAGGAGAAGACACACAGATGGCAAAGACACTTACATACATGAGAAAATGAGCCTAATCTGAACTTTGACTTTTCTCGGTGGCCCACCCATCCCACTAACTACCGTATCGTCATTTCATCTGCTTTTGCAAAGGACAGACAATTCCAAACAGCCAAGCTTGACAAGTGGCTCATCTTAGCCTCTGGATTCAGAGCACGGGTGGCCTCCCCACCTTCAACTGACATCAGAAAACATGTAAATACCTCTAAACATGCTTTGAGTATTTGTTTTTCTAATTGCAAATATTATACCATAATTTAGTTTGAAGGCTTTGTGAAGAATATGCCAGAAACATCTAGTATTAGCCCAATATTCGCCCTAAAAACTAGGTTAATCTTTTTTTTAACAGAAAAGTGTGCATATAAACATCGAAAGACGTGATGAGAGCAGTTTCAACTTCTAATTATAGAAATATTTCATGAAAGAGGTGCTTTATCAGCTCACCTTGAGTGAATGTTAAAGATGAAAATACGGCTATCACCTCCATGTAAATGAGACCATGCAGTGTGTACTTTTTTGGATCTGGCTTCCCTGTGAGATACATCCGTGTTGTTTTGTTTCAACAATTAACTCCTTTTCATTCCTAAGTAGTATTCCATTACATGAATATACCTCACTGTTATTATCCACTCACCTGTTGATGAGAGTTTGTTTTGGGACAGAGTCTCACTCTGTCTTCCAGGCTAGAGTGCAGTGATGCGATCTCGGCTCACTGCAACCTCCACCTCTTGGATTTAAGCGATTCTCCTG